AAATCGATACGGGATGACGTACAGAAGATTGGCGATATAGTGTATGGGCAACGTCTGCCGAATGACCCTCCACGGTTAACACAGGTGGAAGAGGATTCTTTCCGCGAGCAAACAGTATGCTACATATGCAAGCGAGAATTCACAATACTCGACCCCCGTGTTAGAGATCACGAACACTCTCCTCCCTATACTTACAGAGGAGCAGCACACCGTTCCTGTAATATCCGCCACAAGGAACAGGACACTATCAACATTTATCTCCACAATTTATCCAATTACGATGCTCACTTTATCATCAGAGAGCTATCCGTTGATAAAGGAAATATAAATGTACTCGCAAATACGGAGGAAAAGTATATCACATTCTCCAAACGATTTAAATATCCGGGAGCAGGTCGGCAAGGTGGTCTCAAACTACAATTTGTTGATTCCTATAGGTTAATGTCAAAAGCATTAGGGACATTAGCATCAATCCTGCCGGCCGATAAATTAAAAATTACAAAGTCACGCTACCCCAATCAAGAACAGTTTGATCTGCTTAGGAGGAAAGGTGTATTTCCGTATGAGTACATTTCATCGATGGAGGTACTCGAAGAAGATGTCCTTCCACCAAAGTGTGTATTTGGAGAAGGAGTGAGTGATGCGGATTACGAGCATGCGCAGCGAGTATGGGAGAAATTTGACTGTACGACCCTCGGACAGTATGCTGATATCTATTTGGCGACTGACGTATTGCTATTAGCGGATGTGTTCGAGGGATTCCGAGAGATGTGTCTAACACATTACGGATTGGACCCAGCGCGTTATTTAACACTACCATCATATGCTTGGGACGTAATGATGTTCAAGACAGATGTTATCCTTGATACCCTACAAGATATTGATATGTATCTGTTTTTTGAGAAGGGTATTCGAGGTGGACTGACCCAATGCGTTACTAGACACGTTGTTGCCAACAATAAGTTTACCAGAATGGAAACAATTGGCAATGACCGAGACGGTCAGAACGCAGCAGCATCAAGTGAATATTGCGATGAAAGAGATGACGATACATTTATAATGTATTATGACGCAAACAATCTTTATGGCTGGGCAATGTCGGAACTGCTCCCTCACTCCGAGTTTGAGTGGTTATCACGTCAGGAATGTGACGACTTGGACATTGGAAGAATTCCAACAGATGGTGAATATGGATATGTGCTGGAAGTAGATCTAGAATACCCCAGAGATCCAGCACTGCACGATCGACACAGGGATTTACCATTCTGTCCCGAGATATGCAAAGCACCGATTAATCAACTCCCATACTCGTTGGAGGAAATTATCAATAGTGGAGCAGGAAAATCGAAGAAACTAATGGCCACACTGATGGATAAGAGGGAATATGTAATTCACTATCGCTACCTACAACAAGCTATAGAGAATGGATTACGTGTAACTCGAATCCACAGAGTGATTCGTTTTAAACAGTCGGCATGGTTGAAACCGTACGTGACTATGAATACCGAACTTAGACAGCGTGCTGCAAATAAATTTGAGGTAGAAATGTTTAAACTTATGGTAAACGCTGTCTACGGTATGAGTCTTCAGAATGTGCGCAAACATCAAGATTTAAAGATTGCATCATCCCGCAAAACATATACAAAGTATGTAGCAAAAGCTAATTTCAATGACCGTATTTGGTTAAATGAGAACCTTGCCATACTGAATATGTCAAAAGTGCGGGTAGTACTGAGCAAACCCGTCTACGCAGGGATGTGCATTCTGGACCACAGTAAGAGGTGGATGTATGGTTTCCACTATGACATGGTAGATAGGTATGGAATCGATAGAATATCGATGATTTACATGGACACCGATGGCTGTCATTATTCAATACGTACTAAGAACGTATACCGCGACATGTTAGAACATTTGGACGACTTTGACACCAGTAACTATCCCCGGAACCACATTTGTTACGACGGAGGAAACGCTAGAGTTCTGGGGAAGTTTAAGGACGAAGCTGCCGGTGTGGCCATTAAAATGTTCATTGGTCTGATGTCGAAGCTGTATTGTTTCACGTATAGCATCTTAACGTGTGCGCCTGAAGGAGACAACGGAGATGGTGCCAACTGTATACCGCCGCCTGTGAAGAGAGCAAAAGGGGTAAATAGAGCAGTAGTGAAGCGTGATCTCACCATAGAAGATTATTTGAATTGTCTGTACAATAAAACTACTAAAAGTACAGACAATCAACGTTTTCAAAGCCGTCACCACATTTTATACACTGTTGTGGTGAAGAAGCGCTCAATGGCACCGTTTGACGACAAACGATACGTAATGCCAGAAGATGGTATCAACACGCTACCTTGGGGACACTATGCAATACCACCATTAAGGGTACCACAGATACTTGAGGGACCTTAACTACTACCACTGACCCTTTAGTGGATACGATACTCTCCAATTGCGCCACAACCTCTGTCCCCATCATAACTGATATATTATTATTGATTAGTAGACCAAGGTCCGCATGAGTGTGATATTAGGTAGAGTTATTTATTGAACAGTCTTCATTAGTATTAGATTTTGAATACAATTCAAAGATGTTTTGATAAATAAATTCTTTAATTTTTTCCACTTCAAAGTCACGTGTAAATATTTCTAGTCACTGACTCCTCAAAAGTATGCATATATTTGTAAATAGTATTTTAGTTAATAAACAGATATATTTATTTCACAAATTCTGATTGTAATTATTTTCCTATCATTCATAGTATAATATTAGACTTTGATCAGCATTCATAGACTCTGAACAGAAATATTTTAATAATAATAAAGGGAAAAATCATTTTGTTTTCACATTTAAATAATCAGAGTCTATGCGCTTTAAACTAAAAATATGATAATAATGATGATGAACACAGGTAATAAAGTATAACAACTGAAAATATTGTTTGACAAAAGGAAAAAGTTTATTGGTAATAAAAAAAATATATATATTTAAAAATATATATAATTTACAACAGTACAGTGATGTGATCTACGAGGCGAAGAATCGACTGCGATTTGTAGCGCCCCAGCAGTAAGTAAGTAAGTAAGTACAGTGATTAGTTTGTCTTGTGATACATTTGAGTAAAGAGTCTTTTGACGATTCTATCATTACGATCAGTAGTGTGTTCATCAAAGAGTTGAACAAAATCCATCATCTTCATACTGAAGTGTGTGCTGCAATACAGGAAAACCAAACAGTAGTGGGCGCAGACTGAAGACGTATCACCTTGAAGTCGGTATGGATTGTACAGGTAATGATGAGCGTTGTGTCGCAGGAATGTTTGATATAGTGGTAAGTATGGCGGTTGGCCGTAACTATCAAAATATTCAAGCATCCCCTCTCGATTCAAATAGAAAGCCACCCAGTGAGTCCCACCTTCATTGTGTGGATCAGTGTTTACAATTATTGCAGTGTGTGGTGAGATGCGTCGTGGGATTCTGTCAGCAGCGTAGACTCCAACATTGCGCACAGGAAGTGTGGCTAGATATTTTTCAATCTGTAGCGTGTTCATTCTACAGTATCATAACCAATAGTAGCAGTAGATGCTGTTTTTGTTGTACTGGTAGAGGTGCTAAAACAAGAACAGTAGTAGGATCTCGCATCTCCGCTGGTATCCAGACATTCGTCCAAATTTGTTGTCAAATGCAACCAACCACGTATTGCGACACAGTTGGTGAGCGCACATCGACTGTATGTAGACTTGTGATTTCGACATCGTAAAACGTTTGTTGACATTAAATTATTGATTGAAGTGATTGATTCGCAACCAATTGCACCGATATCGATTATATTGGTAGTAACAAAGTCCATCACATGATGACGCTTTAAATATTCTTTCTTTTCCAATCCCTTGACATAAACCGTCGGTCTTTTTGATATACAATCAGTCAATTTGTTAAAAAGTTCGTAGTACGCAATATCACCGAACTCCCATCGTAGTCCGTGGCAGTGTTTTGTGAGCCAGTAGCTTTCCCTCAGTTTTTCATCTGATAACTCTGATCGATCGTAAGGTGGTTTAGCAATATGATGCATAAGTAGTACGCCGGTGTCGGCTTCCAAGACGCAAACTTCCTTCAGTGTATATTCATTTTGATTGTCCTTGAAACATTGAATGTCCACAATGATGGGTGATGATATATTCAATTTCTTGAATGCTCTGCGTAAACGGTCCATCTCAAACGAATGTTTATTGAAGACTGATCGATTAACCGCCAAAGTCCACAATTACATTGCGCTGTCGATCAATCTCGATAACATTGTCAAACTCGGCATAAACCAAACAGTTGACAGTTTCGGTAAGCGTGTCGTCGAATCCGAGTTCCATTCGAACACTACCGTTACGCACCAGATTCCAATGTGTAGTGTCACTTGCAGATAAATCTGGTGTTAGGTCGAATGCCATCAGGCAGTATCCTTGACCAAAATCTTCCCTACTGATAACAGTGCCGGCATCGCTAAAATGTACACCAGAACCGGAGAACATCGAATGATATGCCATAACATATTTATCCTTTGATTTTTCAAAGTGGGGCTGTAACGGTTTTGATGGAACTTGTTCTCCGTCAACATATAGACAAAAGAAGTTTGTTTTAAAATGTTCGAAGTTGTAGGGATTCTTTTTAAAATCTCCATTGTATGCGGCGTTCGTAACCATTCCCACTATGACGCGTTTCGGCACTTGGCCGAGAAACATATTGTCCAAAGTCTTGTTACGTATTCCAGAGGGTAGTGTGAATGTTTTCAGCTCCACTCGTGTGATTGGATATTTTGCCGTACCAGTCTGGAGTGTTTTACTGTGCGCCAACAGTGCGGTGGGACTTATTTTGCATCTTCGAATCCAGAGACTAATATCGACAATATGTACCTTGAATTCACCAGCACTGGCCATAATGGAGAAAGCATCTTTTGATCGAATAAATTTAAATCTCAACTCTACGCCATTTAGCATGAACTTATTCTGATTTCAAATATCCACATGCAAATGTCCGAGCATATCAATCTCACGGCTTTTATTAGTTAGTTCCCGTCTCGCTTTGAGTCCTTCATTTTCTTCCGCACAATCGTTCATGTCAATTCCATCGTCAGTGTACCAAAGACTGCATGTTAGATGTGATTTTCTAGCATCGTATCCATAGTTCATTAACGTTTCAACATACGCTCGATATGCGTATGTGTTGTTTTGGGGAGTAACAAGTTTTTGATTCATAAACATATCAACTTGACTGAATAGTGAGTGTAACCAGTTATTGACCGGCCCAACTGTTTTCGCCTCTTCGTCAGTAGTGACCGCAGTTCCGTTAGATTTAACAATAGACGCGGTCAATTGTATCATTGTTTGTGAAAGGTCAGTGTATTCATCACCATTACCCGGAACTACAAACTCTATTGGCGCATCATCGGTCAATGTGGATATTGGTTTGTACTGGACCCATTTGCCACTTTCAATACTCGTCTGCGTAGGTGGTAAGGAGAATAAATCCAGCTCGGTTTTGACACACTCACATGATTTTTGATGTAGGAACGACATTTTTTTTCTCCTCCTTCTTTAACTAACTAAAAATATCAATAGACTTCAAATTTTTACTGCGACGAGTACGTTTCTTCGGCAAAGTCACCTTCTTCCTTGGCTCTACTCCTCCTCGTCGTCGTATCCTCCCTACTAGTCTCTTGTGTTTCACTCCTCCAACTCTTCTTCTTCTTCTTGATGTAGACGTCCGCACCCTAAGAAGTTTAGCCAACGACTGTGGTGTAACAGGCTTTCTGCCACGGCCACGCATTGCGCGTTTCGCGTTATTCTTACGCGTTACGCGTCGTTTCCTCGCGCCAATGTCGCCGCCTCCGCCGCCATTAAGCATAATACGTTCTATCTGTTCGTCAGCTTTACGTTTCAACGATCCAGTAAACTCTCTAAGTCGTAAGTTGGCGGCTGATTTTGGATCTGTAATTTTACCACCTGCCAGATCGGTTAGGAATCCAACACTGGATCTTAACGCTTCTTGTCCCACCGATTTTGCTCCGGACTTGATCAGTGGCGCGATAGTGCGAATCATACCGCCCAGAAAACTACCGATTCCATGTCCTCGCTGATATGGTGCACCGTGAAATACTCGATCGATAGCACCGCCAGTCTGTTGTAATTGTTGCCGTCGGTAGTATGCCAAATAGGGATCATTCAGATTGATTATCATTATTGCTGCTGTTGCTGCTGCACTCTCCTAAAATGAAGTTTCACGTACGACGTTCCAAACATGAATGGCAGTTTTTTCCCTGTGTGATCCCTCAAGTCGATTTCCACTGTTTCAAATGTGGATTTCATAACGGGTACATAGTGCGGACTTGTGAATGACACTGAATTGTACGAACCGAAATTGTACGTATCTATATTGATGTTGACTATATTCAATAATGGCGCTGTAGTGTCGCCGATAAATTGTGGCTCTATCAAGTCGCAATACACATAAATGTGCGCTGGAATACCCAATGCGAGGTTTGGTGCTTTAGAACCAATCAATTCGGTAATATTGGGTTTTAATATATTTTTCTCGTCATAATCGAAACCCAACTGCTGTGATAGTTTTTCACTCAGACTCACATTCGATACGTTTTCGTTCATGATCCTGAGTTTAACTCTGTTGATTCTCGTGTCGTATGAAAATTCCATATAATCGTGGATGTCTTCATGTTTGTTTATTGTATTCAATAGATCATCAAGATTCCTATAGTATCCGCCTGTAATTTTAACAGCGAACTGTTCTGTATCACGGATAGTCGATCTCGCTAGTAAACTATCATACTGAAATCGTATTGTTTCGTCATCAACATTGTTTCCATTCACCACAAATGAACAAGGATAGTGAATGTCCACCAAAGCCAACTCCCACTTGCCGTCTAATTGGATGTGTTTGGACAAGTGTGTGGTATAACTGGTCACTGTATTTTGTGGGAAATATTTCATAGAACTATTGCTGGGCAATGTCATAAAAAATTGACTGATACTACTAGACATGCTGTATATCGTGCGCAGCTACCCAAGAGTTAAACTCGTCTCCGTAACCTTCCCACTTCACTAGGTATCGCTTACTGTGTCCTCGACCTTTAGTCTCTATTATTTTATCAATCTTAAACAAGTGATTGTCGGGTAATGTAACTTTTTGTATTTCCTCTTCGTAAAACTGTCCATTCAATTCTTCACCATTGAGATCGGTAAGTGTGTACAAAGGTAGTGGCGTAAACACATTCACTCGATGTATCGAAAACACTTCTTTACTCCAGTTTGTCTCGTAGCCTTTGCTAAATCTCCCTTTCTCCCTGGCTATTCGAACTGTATCACCTACTTTTAGTTTTGGTTTCACTCGTCGTGGTATCCTTTTAAACATATGTTTTAATACATTGTAGACGACATGTTTGTCACCACCGTCCACGTCTACAGGGCGTAGTCTATTGCCCAAACTCCTGTGCACACTATTGTTGTACGCATTCACCAATTCATCCAACACATTGATGTAACGATAAGTGTTTTTATGAGTCAAGTATCGCCACATACGAGTCTTCAAGGTCTTATTAACTCTTTCGATCACGGCGCTTTTGATATCAGGATTTTGTGTGGTTACATATTTAATTTTATATTTTTTAAACAATCGTACGGTCTTTCTACCTGTGAATTCACTCCCTTTGTCGGTTTGTAAGCACGTTGGTGTTTTATTTGCTTCTTTGAAAATATCGTCAAAAGCGGTAGCCACCTCAGCACCTTCCTTCTTCTTTAACGGCCTAACATAAAGACGCTTACTAAACACATCAATCACTGACAGTAAGTAGTTAAAACCATCATTGTATTTGCTCAATCCTCGCATATCGTTTAAATCCGCCTGCCATAGTTCATATGGTCGAAACACCATATAAGGATTGCGTTTAAATCGTTTACGGACTGGTTTATGCAAAGTATAAGTGTCTTGTGTTTGTAACCAATCAACTATTTTACGTTTGGAAATATTTTTCTCCCTCGCTCCTCGTACTAACGGAGCTACGCCGCCATACGAGGCAGGATCGTTTGGATTATAATACAACTGTTCCATTGTTTACGGTTCGTACGGTTCCCAATTGTTGAGTGACTGCACAATCGAATCTTGAAGTACCTCTCTTCTCACTGCACGGTGATCAGCCACTTGCCTCTGTGGATACGGAGCGTGACCCACCCGCCTGACATATGCAGACTGTAAACGATCTGGTAATAAATATCTCCTTCGCCCTGTCACTGACAGCGCGGCTGCCCCCCCTCTTGTCCCATCATCAGGCTCATCCATTGTTTCTTCTACCGAGTCATATACTGATTCATCTGTTGCCTCATCAAACGTTAAATAGTCCAACGCTTGTTTGTTATGTATATATTCTTTAGGCACATTCATCAGTTTCAATGCGCTCAATATTTCATTCCATCCTGGCGGTAATGAATGTGCCGCTCGAACTCGTACGATTGCATGTGTCACATCGACTAAATTGGATCCTGGTATTTTGTTACCCTGTATAATCACTTCAAAATTATCATTCCAGCTAATCAAACTGTCGTCGCGTGTTATGAAGCGCAATAAGTTTCGAGCGCTATCTTTATAAGTCTTTGAAAATGTTTCAACAATTTCCTCTATTTGTCCAGGGTAAACACGTCGCTTGTTAGGTTCTTGCTGCCCATACTGTCTGTCTCTTTCACCAGCCTCGTTAATCTGATCACCTAGTTTGGTGTTCACAATGGGGATACTAACTGGTTCACGATTACTTGACGCTACGTTTAAAAAACGATGTAACACTTGACTGTACAACTTCCATTTATCACTATCATTGAGTTTTTTATTATTCATTATCTCTTCCATTTCGTCATCCAAACTTTTGTATGAACGTTCAGTTGAAAGTGACTGTTGATTAGCCGGCGATTTTAAACGATCAAATAACTCTTGTGGAACAATGACCATTTTTCGTGCATGCTCCATTGTCGTGTAACTCTGTGTAACTTCACGCACGGTGTCTCAGAATAGAATGACAAATCTTTATATGTATGTAGACGTAGGAGTCACCTGATTAATACAACTTTTAGTTATTTAAAGCTGATTGTACAACTGCTTGCAACACAGTACTTAATAATAATGGGATAATAGTTCCACCTCCTTTTTGTACTAAATATTTGCGTTTTTTATTCCAGCATTCACCTCGTTTTACAATTCGACGAAGAGTAGTCTTGTGTCTTCGCAATTTTTGTTTTATCTTGTCTGATAGAGGAACGTTACCTCGTAACACATTGTAAATACATTCACAAACTGTACGAATAGTACTCAAGTTACACACTTTTAATAGCCCTTTGCGCTCTTTTGGAGTAGCATCTATTAACACTTTGAGAAGCGCTCTGTCCTTCCTCAAGCACGACATGATGATAACTAAATTATTTTGTTTTCCTATTTTGTTTTGGCACATACACAAAATGATTATCATCATCTGGAAATATATTACTCTGTATTCGCATATCGTCAGGTGTTGATTGTTTCAGATCTATCAATAGGTAGCCATGTGGTTTACTTGTTGCATCGGTATACGCCTCCTCGATAAACTTTGAGTTTTCTGGATGGATTTGTCTAGCTAAACACTTGATCTGCACCCTATCTCTAGGATTCTTAAAACATACTAAGTAATGCGCATTTAGTGATATGTCTCTCTGGCCACGTCCTTGGTGGAAAATATTTTGAGTTATAAAAAACACACTAATATTCCTATGGTGACAACCTTTTGTAAATAAATCAACCACTATGTTGTTTGTTTCTCGCATCATATCATCTATTACCACAAGTATCGGTTGATTACCGTCAAAGTCTTCCATGTTTGGTAAACCTTCAATGTATTTTATTTTTGAGTTTAATGAATTACCAACTCCTCCTCCACCACCACTACCATAATGCCAGTATATGCTAGAGAATAATGTGTCACACATTTCTGAAATATTATCAATAAACCTTGAGACAAACACTGATTTACCACTACCTGAAGGCCCCGCCACAATGGCGGAGAATGGGTGTAACCACTTCAAAGTCATACTAACTACTGATACCAATCACTCATTGCTTTAACTATAGTATTACCTTCGGGTATAAGTCAATCATTTTAGTCATGTGTTTATGTTTGCAAATAAATCAAAAATTTATTACTTACAAAAACTATCAAAATCTACTTAGGTTATTTTAAGAATATATATACATACATTTTTTTTTATTTACGTCTTGATGTTTTCTTGCTTTACAATATTTACACAAATTCCAACGGAGTGAATGATGCGCCGGGCCTGGGTGAGCGTTTCACCAAGCGAAGGCGATCTCCGAAACCGTTGTTGTAGCGATCGATGTCGGCATTGCTCACCACATCATTGAAGCGTCTCGGCAGATAGACTCTCAGGTAGTAGTCATCTCCCGTCTGGGCCTCAAGGATGACGATGATTGTCTCGCCGAATGGTGTAACCGCTCTCTCCATCATCGTTATTAGGTATGGAACCTCATC